TTTGATAAAGGACCATGAGAGACATTCGAACCCCCAGATAATCAGTTTATTAATAATGGTGGTTCTTTTGCAAGAAAGGCAGAATTATATTTAGTCGTTTTTTGCGAGAAACGTCGTTGTTTATTTTCTGTATGTAGTCGTTCTTTTGAGAAACGCTGAATTGTTTTTATTTTTGTGTCTTTCTTTATGTGAATTGTCGCATCTTTTCAAGAAAGACTGAATTTTTATTAGTCGTTGTTTTTGGCTATTGTATTTTTTTGTTAGTCTTTCGTTTTTGCCAGAAAGACTGAATTGTTTATTACTTGTTTATTTTTTGTATGCATAGTCGTTCTTTCACGAGAAAGACTGAATTGTTTGTTTTTGTATGTATAGTCGTTGTTTTGCGAGAAAGGCTCAATTGTTTATTTTCTGTATGTGTAGTCGTTCTTTTGCCAGAAAGACTGACTTGTTTATTTTTGTAAGTTGTTTTGTTTTTCTTTTTTTGATATTATTTATTTTCATTTTTTGGCGAACGTTTTGTTTCCAAAAAATCTATTGATATAAGTTTCTGAGAAGGAATGCTATCTCTACACCAAATGTATAGTCAACTCCTACAGAGGCAGACTGGAATTTTTTTTATTAGCTAATCAAATAGAAATGTCTACCTTTTACCTAAACAATTGCCTTTCTTAACTTGAAATCAGAAAGCTTTAACCACTTGACAGTATCCCTTTCATGTATGAACACTATTTCTCTTTTGTAGACATTTTACTTTGTTACTGTCTTATAGTTGCTTTGCTTTACTTTGCTTTGCATTACATTGTCTCGTCTCTTATTATTTTACCATAATTTCTTTTTCCTTTTATTCTCATCATTGAAAATTTTATCAATTCTACTTTTCCATGCCCGTTACGTCACCAAAATCAATAGACAAGAAAATAACACAGCAATCCAATTCTTCTTTTATTTAATTCTATTTAATTTTTAATTTTAAATTATTCTCATTATTTTTAACATATTTTTCATTACTAAAAATATTTGCTTAATTTGAACGAATATGTTTATATTTAAATGCTTTTTAAAAATATTTTTTTTGTTACGTATTGTTTCTGGCTTCTTCTGGTCTATGGGCAATACCTTATGTCCCAACGCTGCATCACAGAGTGGATGGACGAGGTAAAAGGTTTATTTGTCTTAAAGAGGGCGTCTTTTCTGCATTTAATTTCAGGTGGGGGACACGTTAATCAGCGCACCTCAACGTGTAGGCCAGCTACATGCCTCCTTGGCGTGCCGTGCTTTTCTTCCAAAGCAAAACACGCCAAAGAATATGCGAGCTGAGAGGCTTTTCATCCTTCTGTTGTTGCCACTATACTAGCTGTCTTGGCGCTTTTTTTTAAAGAGAAAATTCATTTATATTTGATATTCTACACCCATTCTTTTCAAGCCACCTTTACACAGTTCCGGTTGTCAAATTTATGTCCAGTACCCTAGATTCTACGATTTGGATCTAGCCTAAACAATCTGTAAAACCTTGTATCATGTGTTTCTTTTTACAGTGTACATATTAACAAAAGCGTATACCTAATTAAATATGAAATATTATGTCTTGGAAATAAATATATTAGATCACGTATGGAAGTTTTCTTAGATGTTCCTTTGTGTTTTTAATATGAAAAGTACAAATCTTTGCTATAACGCCCCAAGGATTTCATAAACATTGACTCATATTCGCATAAATGGATATCGTATATCAAAAAGAAAATTAGAAAAGAAATACGTAACTTAGAATTACCTATTGGGCCGGAAGGGTTTTGTCCGCCATGTTTCCTGCGGCGAAGTTGCTGGAGTAGACGTCACTCTTAAGTGGCCTGTCTTGTCATCACAGCCGGTCTTCGTAAAAATAATATAAAATGACAACCGATGATAAAGACATACTTAATGAGTATAAAATGAAAGAGGTTTTAAGAAATGGGACTGAATAAATCAATGAGAGGTATCTGATCTGTCCGCGCTTGACTTTCCCAGGGGCGTAAACATCAAAGAGGATAGGGGAAACTAATGTAAGAAGTAAGAATAGCCTAATCGCCTTCTTCGTCTTCTACTTCTTCTTCTACTTTTACTTCTACTACTACTTCTACTTCTACTTCTTCTACTACTTCTATTTCTTCTTCTACTTCTACTTCTTCTACTACTTCTACTTCTTCTTCTTCTACTACTTCTACTTCTTCTTCTACTTCTTCTACTTCTTCTTCTTCTTCTACTACTTCTACCTCTTCTTCTACTTCTTCTTCTTCCACTTCTTCTTCTACTTCTACTTCTAATTCTTCTTCTTCTGCTACTTCTACTTCTTCTACTTCTACTTCTTCTTCTACTTCTTCTTCTATTTCTTCTTCTACTTTTTCTTTCTTTCTTCTTCTTCTTCTTTTCTTAAACTTCTTTTCTTCTCTTTTCTTCTTTTCTTCCTCGTTCTTCTACTTCTTTTTTAATTCTTCTTCTTCTTCTTCCTTCTTCTTCTGCTTCTTCTGCTTCTTCTACTTCTTTTCTTTCCTTCTACTCCTTCTTCTTCTACTTCTACTTCTTCTTTTCGTTCTTCTTCTTTTCTTCTCCTACTTCTTTTTCTTTTCTATTTCTTCCCTTCTTTTCTTCTACTTCTTCTACACTTCTTCTTCTTCTTCTACTTCTTCTTTTCTTCTTCCGTCTTCTTTTCCCTACTTCTTTTCTTCTTCTTCTTTTTCTTCTTCTTTTCTTCTTCTTTTTTCTTCTTCTTCTTCTCTTTCTAGCCTTCTTCTACTTCTTTTCGTTCTTTTTCTTCTTCTTCTACTTCTTCTATCTCTTCTTCTTCTTCTCTTCTCTTCTACTTCTTCTCTGTTCTTCTTCTTCTTTTCTTCTACTTCTTCTTTTTCTTCTTCTTCTTCTTTTCTTCTTCTTCTTCTTCTCTTCTTTTCTTCTCTTCTTCTTCTTCTTCTTTTTTCTTCTACTTCTTCTTCTACTTCTTCTTCTTTTCCACTTCTCTTCTTCTTTTCTTCTTTTCTTCTATTCTTCTTTTTCTTCTTCTTCTTTTCTTCTTCTTCTTCTTCTTCTTCTACTTTTACTTCTTCTTCTTCTACTTCTTCTTCTTCTTCTTCTACTTTCTTCTCCTTCTTCTTCCTATTCTTCTTCTTCTTCTTTTGCTACTTCTCTTCTTCTTCTTCTTCTTCTACTTCTTCTTCTTCTTCTTCTATTTCTTCTTCTTCTCCTACTTCTTCTACTTCTACTTCAACTTCTTCTTCTACTTCTTCTACTTACTTCTACTTCTTCTTCTTCTTCTTCTTCTTCTTCTTCTATTTCTTCTTCTTCTTCTTCTGCTACTTCTACTTCTTCTACTTCTACTTCTACTTCTTCTTCTTCTACTTCTTCTTCTCCTACTTCTTCTTCTTCTACTTCAACTTCTTCTTCTACTTCTACTTCTACTACTACTTTTTTTTTTTTCTTCTTCTTCTTCTTCGCCGCTTCCTTTAAAGTGTGAGCGAATTGACTGTCTTTTTTGCTATCTCCCCTGAATTTAAATGCAATACTAAATAAGCGGCAAGATCTCATCATTTTACACTCTAAACGCTTAGATGACATGTACGTCCCATGCTAACAGTTTCTTTTGCAGCACTTTTTTTACTATTACAAATCATGAATAAATTATTCAGAATTATTAAGTACGAGTTTTAACCTGTGAAAAGTTCCTAATTGAATTCTCAAATGAATCTTTATTATTCAACTTAATGATTAAATAACCTCCTGACGAGTTCTACAACAATAAAATATCTGTAGAAACTCGCCTATGGCATCATTAAATATTTGATCTTAAAAAGTTTATCATAACATTCATAAATATGAATGCTGGTCGTTATTTTAAGAAGTAAGGGTGTACAAATGAAAATATTTGAGACTTAACCATTAAACACTTCTATCTTTCCTTCTTTCTTTCATTTTCTTGCTGAAAGCCAAGTAACACCATTGATATAACCGTTGTTTTCTCACGCGTTCAAAACGGAAGAGTCCATTATTTACGAGTTATTAGCAGGAGACGGTAAACACTCCTGTCTTTCTTTCTTTATTTCTTTTTTCACTGAAACCAAGTAGCGTCTCTGTTATGTCTGTTGTCATTCCACGTGATCAAAACGGAATAGATCACTATTTATGAAGTATTGGCAGGGCGTAATGGTCTTGTGAACTAAGTAAGTAAAGAAGGGAGGGACAAGAACAATTATTATACAATATTTATTTTTATTCCTTTCAGAAATGATTTCATTTTAACGATTTAGTTGTTTGATTTAATTTTATATTTTTATTTCATTTTAAAATTTTTACAATTTATATTTTATTTTACGATTGAGTGGTTGGATTAAATTCTATTTAATATTTTTATTTTATTTTACAAATTTTATTTTATTTTACAATTTACTGATTGGATTTAATTTAATTTGATATTTTTTTAAATTTTATTTTACAATTTTTTACAATTTATATTTTATTTTACAATGTACTGGTTGGATTTAATTTAATTTTATATTTTTATTTTATTTACAATTTTATTTTATCTTACAATGTACTGGTTGGATTTAATTTAATTTATATTTCTATTTTATTTTACAATTTTTACAATTTTATTTTTATTTTACAATGTACTCGTTGGATTTAATTTTTTTTTTTTATTTTATTTTACAATTATTACAATATATATTTTATTTTTACAATGTACTGGTTGTATTTAATTTAATTTTATATTTTTATTTTATTTTCAAATTTTATTTTATTTTTACAATTTACTAGTTAGATTTAATTTAATTTTATATTTTTATTTTATTTTACTATTTTTATTTTACAATTTACTGGTTTGATTTAATTTAATTTCATATTTATGATTTAATTTACTTTAATTTAAAAAAAAAATCTCTTTACTCAGAGAAATTGGCCAAATTCAGAACTTGGCTCTCTGATTTCTCATTCTGAGCCGTTATCCAATATACCATCCAAAAATAGCGCACCAGATTACAAAGCGGTTGCCCACCTAGGTACTGACTAGGCTCGGGGTTGCTTAACTTCGGTATTCTAACGAGAACCGGTGTTTCAACGCGATATGGCCGTAAGTATTAAATATGAATAAATAAATAAATTACTACCCATATTCTTTTTTTTTTATTATTCTTGAGACCAATAAAAAATTACGTTGTTTCACAAAATAGCTGCGATATGGCTTTTTTGTCTTTGTTTGTGTGCGCAGTTAAATATGAAAAAATAACGATAAACTGATAGTAGTGTATATATTATCTAGCCTTGTATGGCTACAAATCCACCATTTTTTTTAATTATTCTTGTCTCAAGGTCCTTGATAAAATCCAAAGACGGACGAATATAAAAATCTCGTCTACAGTCACTCTTCACAGACGTGCCACTGCCTCCCTCTGTTTTTTTTTTTTACCACTTTCAAAATAGCTGGTTCCCTTTCATGAATTTTTGTTCAGCTAGACTGGCATCTCGCTCTCACCCCCTTTCCCTGTCGAAACTGTTAAATGTAGCCGTCTCTTTTTTTTCTTCCCCTCCCATTTCTTGTTTCCCTGTGAGCTATCATGAGCAGTGATATATATTTTTTTTTTTACAGACAAGAAAAATGACGATAAACTGATAGTAGTGTATATTAGGTTATCTAGCCTTGTGTGGCTACAAATCCACCATTCGCCCTTGCCCTGATTGTCTCAAGGTCCTTGATAAAATGCAATATAATTGGCCCTGATCTGGCATTACAGTCACTCTCTCACAGACGTGCCACTGCCTCCCTCTGTCATTTTTTTTTTTTTACTTTCATGGTAACTGCTCTCATGGTCTGAATTTAATTGTTCAGCTAGACTGGCATCTCGCTCTCACCCTTTCCCTGTCGAAACTGTTAAATGTGATTGTCTATCAAGGATATATTTTTTTTTTCAAGAAAAATGACGATAAACTGATAGTAGTGTATAAATCCAAAAAATTCGCCCTTGACGGATATGTCAATATAATTCTGGGCTCCCTTCTGATTGTCTCAAGGTCTTGATAAAATCCAAAGACATCTCGTCTGGCATCAGTCACAGTCACTCTCACAGACGTGCCACTGCCTCCCTATGTCATTTTTTTTTTTTTTACAAATACTTTCATGGTAACTGCTCTCATGAGTTGCTCTCGCTGGTTCCCAGACTTCATGAATTTAATTGTTCAGCTAGACTGGCATCTCGCTCTCACCCTTTCCCTGTCGAAACTGTTAAATGTAGCCGTCTCTTCTACTCCAATAGCTTCATGTCTCGCACTTCTCGCCTGTGAAACTCCCTCCCCATTTCTTGTTTCCCTGTGAGCTATCATCTCCAACTATTCAAATGTAATGTCAATCGACGTCTCCTGATCTATCCCCTATCAAGATCGACGTATAAACACGTCTCTAGCTGGTTTTTGAACGTTATCTTTTGGACGTGTTTATTCGTCAATCTCTGAAAAAACACATTTGTGTAAAGACGGATATACATGTCTACGCCAGGGAAGTGTTAAAACTATAACATAATCAATCACAAAGTTTTCCAAACACAATAGAGATAGTCTTCTAACGTACGAAAAAGAAGAGAAAATTCCAGAATTCCTATTTATTTCGATTCCATTTACAACATTCACCCCCCATATATATATATATATATATATATATATATATATATATATATATATATATATATATATATATATTACTAAAACGTTTCCAGTTTGACCACAATAAAATGAGTCAAGATCGACGGGAAAGAGTTAAGAATGATACGAAATTCTTCTCTTCTAATTTCAGCCATACATTAAATAAAGGTGTACACTAGAATATCTAGCCTTGTGTGGCAATCAAAGACAAGGACCTTTTTTGCATTGACTTTCACACAAACAACATTAACCTCTTCCTCGCCAATTATTTTGGGCAAAACGTTTCATTTTCAGATCAAATGTTTCATTTGTTTTTAATATAATAAATAAGAAACTAACAGTTGCCTTGAAGTACTTGAGCGGTGGCTAAGACCTTTTGCCAGACGTATGAGCTGACACTTGGACTTGTTTCAAATGTATCAAGTTCGACGCATAAACACACCTCTAGCTGGTTTTCCAAAGTTTATTTGCCCGCGTTTCTTTGTCTTTGTAAATATGAATGTGTATTTTTTTTTTAATAGAAATTTATCTCACTCGTTTATGAATCAAAGAGGCATTTTTGAAAGATGATCATTTTTATACCAAGTCTAGCGTTGTCAAATTCATTTTCTATATAATGTTTTAAGTTTAAAATATGCGAAATGAAAAAAAAAAAAGATAAAAAAAATCATATTTTTTCTCATTTAGATGTCATTTCAAACGCTCAACATGTTTTTCTCCTCTGAGAAATCTTCTAATCAGAAAGTTATTCATTATATATTAGACAGTGTCGGGTTGGTGAATAAAAAAGAAACGAAGGCATTACAATTTTTGGATAGAAACGATCAATTTAGACAAGGTGCTTAATTGAGCCGCTTTTTTCTTTTCCGAATAAAATTAATCGAGTTTTGATAAATTAACTTCTTCAATTAAGTGTACCTCGAAAGACGCCACAGGAGGCATAATAAAAAAAAAACATAAAACTGCACCAAAAAGAAAAAAAAATATATAATTTTTGTTTGGTTTAAGAAGTCATTTTGAAATTACTTTTTTTTAACTTGACAAGTCGTGTGCTGATTTATTCTCGTGAAAAAACATGATGAACTTTAAAATAAAGCATGAGTTTTAATTTGCTGCCAGAAAAATAACACATTCTCAGAATAAAAGAGAATCCATATAAACCATAAGATATGAAAGGGCTTGTAATAATTCAATAAAGATAATATATTCATTTAATATAGTGGTTCCAAACTGATTTTGGACCATACCCGACTTTGGTATTTCTAAAATTCTGCTGCCCTCACCCTATAATATTTAATTCTTACATAATCAAAATTTTACTGCAATTCACGTGAAGGAAGCTGAAAATGTCATTCATCATCATCTTGCGGCCTCAGCCGAGATTGAACTCACTAAACCTTTCCAGTATTCCTTATCTGTCATAGCTAATACTTTGACTGGTGTAGTTCGTAATCTTGTCAAATAGCTGAATTCTTGATGCATCGCTAGGGCTATCAAGGGTGTTTTTATCGTGACACCATCACTAAATGGATTGCCAACCAAGGCTCAGAGAGACTCCATTCACCCTCCTCAAAGAGCATGTTTGAATTTAGAGTTTTCCTTCTCCTAGACTAGTTGCCAGTCTGTCCTGCTATTTACCTATATCTGGAGGGAGAAGAAGAGGATTCACACCTTTCCCAAGGGTATAAGCACGTAAGTGAATGTAATGGATTCGACTGGAATTTGTGGAGGCACGGTGGAGTAATGGATAGTGGCTTGGATTGAGGAAAGGTCATTAACTTGGTCTGCTACACAAGCCTCCAAAGACCATGGCATCCATGAAAGAGAAAAAAATAAAAAAATAACAACAAAAAGACAGTTAAATATATTATTTACATATGTCGGACTATTGTCTTCATCTTTGTCGTCATATTTATTACAACGTTTCAGCCGGTGTACGCTCCGGCCTTCTTCAAGGACTCATAGCAAAGTGGATAAAGGCGTTGGTTATATCCAGTGACAGGACCCAAAGTGTGTGAGTTCAATACCCGGTTAAGGCAGTGGAGAACTTTCAGAGGGAAATTAACAGGAGATAACTGAAAACTGATAACCATTAAACATGGCATGTGGAACTAGAACAGTCTACCCCAGTGAGCGAAATAAAAGGTTCAGTTCGACATTACAACCACCTGAAGAAGGCCGGAGCGTACAACGGCCGAAACGTTGTAATAAATATGGCGACAAAGATGAGGACAATAGTCCGAATAATGTAAATACAGTACATGATACCTCATCTCAGAAAGATAGACAGATACTGAAAGGCCGAAACGTTGTAATAAATATGGCGACAAAGACGAGGGCAATAGTCCGAATAATGTAAATAATGTACATAATACCTCATCTCAGAAAGATAGACAGATACAGAAACGCCGAAGGGTTGTAATAAATATGGCGACAAAGACGAGGACAATAGTCTGAATGATGTAAATAGTGTACATAATACCTCATCTCAGAAATATAGACATATACTGAAAGGCCAAAACGTTGTAATAAATATGGCGACAAAGACGAGGACAAAGTCCGAATAATGTAAATAATGTACATAATACCTCATCTCAGCAATATATACATATACAGAAAGGCCGAAACATTGTAATAAATATGGCGACAAAGACGAGGACAATAGTCCGAATAATGTAAATAATGTACATAATACCTCATCTCAGAAATATAAACAGACAGAGTTAAATATATATATAGTTTCAAAACATATAATAGAGAGATGAAAGGCAGAATATAAATGAAAGTTTAGCTCAGGTTGGTATATTAAGCCAAAGGATGCATATTCTACGCATGCCACATCAAAATATTACCATGCCCCACCGGTGGGGCATGCACCCCACGTTGGGAATCAATCCTTTAATGACTTAATACCTGTTATACATATTTCTCTTTAAAAGAATTGCTGAAAATGAAGCCTTCCCATTGCCCGTTTAAAAATCATTTACTTTCATACAAATCGAGTATAAGTAACATAATACTTACTTCTATATGTATAAAAATATGTTGAAATATTAAAATTATAACAATTTGAGCCAGAGTCAAAGGGACAATGCATGCAGCGGAAACACCCCTTTTCACCAGCCCCAAAGAACGCAAGGTCGTTTTATCTTTGGGATTCAAAAGAGATTGAGTCTAATGACTACGCTCAAAGGGGCCACATCATCAATGGAGAGTACCATGCCAAATTGCTTAGGCAGTTACGAAAGATGAAAGGCTCTGGAAAACTTACGGATGGGAACTTGTTTCATCAGGACAATACTCCAGAACACAAGTCCTTAGTTTCAATGGCTGGTGTGTATGATTCTGCGTTTGAACTGGTTGATCATCCTCCTTGTTCTCCTGATTTGACAATCATCTGTTCGACAACAGGATAAAGCAAGTTACTGGATCACAGTGATGA